TTCACTCCCCTGCTTGCAAGGGGACATTTTTAAGAAGGGACTAAAATGTTTATTGTCCCCCTGCACTTGCTGCAATGGCTCATTGCGGTGCTGTGGACTATTAGGCAGGGAGACCTCCTGGGGGAATTGGTGGTTTTTGGTGAGGTCCTGGAGGGGGACGAAGCGGAGCGTGGAGAGCCAAGCCTGGCAGTGGGGGTGGCACACAGTTCCCGGCCGGCCATCTCGCGCGTCACGAACGCGTCTCCCTGCGCGTCCGCCGCCTGTCACAGCATCACAAGCAGAGGAAGGAATCACAGCCGGTAGCCACAGCAACATTAGCAGCCCGGACGGCGCGGTGTGCCGTCACCTAGCAACTGCCGAGGGTCCCTGGGGATAACAGGGAGCAGCCCCATCACCTGAATGCGGGTGGCCGTGGTCCCATCCAACCCCGAGATGCAGCAGCTGCTCTGCTTCCTGCAAACAGGGATTTGTGCAGCCTTGCTACTACCTTTAGGGCAAGGCATTATTTGTATTTTTCTTGAACGAATGTTTCCCATCTCCTTGCAGGGGGCTTTGCAAGGGTCATTTAGATGATGTGTTGTGAAGGACGTGTGTGTGAACCTCTCACTCCAGTAAATGCTTCCAGCCTCTGTGAGACTGGAGGCAATTTAGACCAAAAAAGCAGAGCCCAGCAGAGCAGCTGATCTGCTCCCTGACATGCAGGGCTGTCCCCAGGGGTGGTGCTGAGCCCCAGCACCTGGGGACCCCTCTCCTTAGAGAAATGGCAGGGCTGCAAAAGTGGGACCTGGCCTCCAAAGCTGCCCTCGTGCTTCCGTGAGCAGCTGCAGGAGTGAGGAGCAGGAGGAGGCTTGTACTAAGCATATGCGCAGATCTAATAAGGAATTAAAAGCAATTAGACTTGCTCAGAGTAATGGCTACAGAGCTCCGGAGTGGCAAAAGGAGTGAATCTTGCCCAGCATGCTGGTTCTAATAACCCTGCATGCAAAATCCAGGTTAATCATCAGAAACAATGTTGTTTGTATCTTCATAGAGAGACGAAACCATTTGGAGCAGCTCTTCAAGCCAGTCAGTGAAAACAGAGTCCTCCTTCCTCTGAGCACAATGTTGAGCACCAAAGTGATTTTGGAGGCAGACCGTAACATGTCCAGTTCCTTCTAGGGTAACGAAAATGCTGCTTTTAGATCAAAGTAGGCTGGTTTCAGGTGCCTGGTGGATATAAGGACGTGGTGACTGAAGCACCTGCTGAGGGAGCCACCACTGCCATCTTCTCTCTGAGCACCAAAGAGCTATTTCAGCCATGTGTGATGACACTTCCTTCTGCCAAAACCAGCTTTCCCTTGCAAAAACTCCAGAGCCTGACAGCCTCGGAGCCTCTTGGTACTCTGAGAGGGGCAGGTTGTGTCCCCATCCACAGCATGGGCAGTCACTGCCAGCTGCAGTGCACTGGCAGGAAGCGTGTGGGAAAAGCCATCTGCTAGCGGAGCCAGCTGGAAAGTCTCTTCTTTGCTTCCCAACAGAGCAGTGATGTTGTCTCTTCCTGGGGAAAGGGCTGCAAGTGGTTACCTGTGCTGGGAGCCCTGGAAGGCCCAAGGAGGCAGGACTTGCTGTTGGGTGCTGCTCTTTCTCTGCCATCTCCTTAACTCAAAAGGATGGAAAAATACAAGATTTTTCTTTTCCAAATAGAGAACCAAAACAGGTGGGAGAAATTGCAATGGAGCTAGAAACAGAACGCAGACGTAATAATTTTCAAGGCACTACTCTTATAGCCAAGCTGTGCTTTCTCTCCCATGTTTTACCTCCGAGCACAGCAGGAAGGGTGGGTTGTACCCAGTGTGCTGCTCACTGGGTGCTCTGCTGCTCTCCCAGACCAAAGGGGAACCTGGGTTGCTGTGGGCACTACTGCATGTCCTGCTGCATGGGCATGGGAGGGAGTGAATCCAACACACAGATGGGATTAAGGCACCAGACAGAAAATTGGGGAAGAAAAAAAAAAAGTCCCAGTGGGCACATTAAGCTTGATCTTTTGTCTGCATCTGGACTCTCAGCACGCTCGCAATCCAGCCCATCTATCTTCACCTTGGTTTTACAATGTGCTTAACCCTGGGCATACCATGCCAAGGGCCACATTTCAAGAGGAGAAGCAGTTCCTTATAGCCTACTTACTATTAATAGATATGCAAAGTACTCCTATATCATCTTATCTGAAGACCTCAAATCATTTTGCAGACCTTATTTTAGCTTCTTGGTAACTCTGAGGTGAGACACTTATCCCTGTTCTTAGAGACAGAATAAACTTAAAATTTCTATCCTTCAGCCTTATCAGCCTCTGCCAGGCTGTAGATTTTCAGTCCTGTGCTTTAATTGCAGTGCTTTGTGTCACTTGCCTGTGGTTGGGGGCTGTGAGGGAGGGTCTGTTTGTCTCATGTAGGGGCTGTGCTTAGACTAGAAGAAAAAGCTGGTGGGATAGATCCTGCATAGCTAGGGAAAGCAGGGTTACAGAAAAGTCCTCAGGTCTAGCTGTTTGATTAGGCAGCAAAAGAGTATTAAGGCAGCAGGAGAGGGGAGGGTGGGATGAAGGAGGTGGCAGATGCTCACCTTCCAAGGCTGTGCTGCCTTGGGGTGGAGTAGCTGGAGCCAGGGGATGCTGGAAGGAGCAGGAAGGAGCTGGGGTGCTAGCGGGCAAGGCCAAGAGCAGCATTTGACACAGTACCTGGTGCCAAGGGAATGCCTCTGCTGCAGAGAGATGCTAAGGTATGGTGAAACTGGGCCACAAGGCATTAATTGCTTAAAGTAAAACTTAGAAATCAAAATTTAAAGATCTAGTGCCTATCTCATCCACGTAGCTCCATTTGACCTTGTTTACTGGAAGTATAAACAGTAATGGGAGTCAGAGCTATGGAAGCCACTGGGTCTTGAGCACTACCACCTTGAGCAGTGGATACAGAACTGCTTTGGGGTAAAATACCAGGCAAATAGACTGTGGTTGTGCTTCTGAGCAGTAGCGAGTGTGGAATACCAAACACCTGGCATGAGCCACTACCCAAGGCTAGCAATCAGGCTCATGTTTTTAAAAGCCTCAATCTAATGCTGGGCGAGTCCCCAAAAGCCATTCCCAATTTGCTTCCAGCCTGCTCAGATTGTCATGTCTTTGGGAGGCCCTTTCCTATCCCCAGTGTCTTTTTTTGTTAGAGTTACTGGGAGGCCTTGGGCAGGTGATGACCTTGCCCAGGGAACTTTGGTGAGTGTAAACTGCTCTCTCTACCCATCTGCACATTACGGTGATGACTATCCCCTTCCCAAAGTTCTGTGAGGTAGGGGTGGAACAGAAGGGCAGCACCAAGTCTCAACTTTTTTTCTGTGATTTGGCAATTCTGGAGCCTTAAACAGGGACTATTTCTGGCAGAAATGGGGAGTTAAGGGACCAAAACCTGCACTTGAGCATTGCATGTGGGAGAACACAACCTTGTGGCTCTTTTGCCCAAGATTTAGCTGTGTAGCTGTCTCAGCAGCTGGGCTGGGAGCAGCTGCTGCACAGGTGTCTTGAGGGCTTTAAACCACATGGAACCACCTCAAAGCAAGCTGCCTGGCCTTTCTCCCCATCTTCTGGGCTTATATTGGTACCATGGCAAATCTTGTGCTTGCCAGACAGTTATGGAAATCAGCCAAATGCACAGAAAGTCCTTTTGGGAATTACAGAATCTGATGGGAGCAAAGTCCTTAGCCCCAGATACAAACCTGACAACACAGGAGCTCTGCAAGAGCTTCGACAGAGCCTCATGTCTATTGTACGTGAGATGCTCTGTCCAGGGAAGAGGCACAAGATCTCCTGCCGTGTACCGGCTGTGTTTGGGAGATACACTGTGGACTGGTGTTTTTAAATCAATGGTATCTGATTTAAGGAAGTTGGTTTGTTTTTTGAAGTGTCAGTTAAAGGCCGAGTCCACACACTTAGTGACTTGTTCAGGAGTTCACAAGAAAACATATAGCAGAATGAGGAATGATTTCTTCAAGTGCATCTATAGACTATTACACCCCAAAGCTGTTTATCTCCCCTCCAGCAGAATGGAAAAGCGACATATCATAAATAAACAGACATGTATATTTGTCCCTGTTTGGAGTTTTCTGGTTTTCATCTTGTGACTGAGGCCTTGACCTTCCCTTAAGCAGCATCTGCATTTGCCCTGACCAAACCTGGTTTGAAACATGCTTCCCATCTCCTATTAGATGTCTCTTTAGCGTGCGTCTGGATGTGATGTATTACTTTAGGATATACAGCTGTTGAGAAAATATTTTCACCTTTTGGAGTAACTGCATTCTCCAACACTAATATAAAAGTTTGCAGTGATTTTAATTCTGAAAGATGGGTCAATTTGTGAGGGAGGAGGCAGCAACTGTTATGCTTTTTCCTGTTGGGGAAAAGCCCGGGGCTGGAAGTGTCAGTCAATGAGACTGATCTGTAGCAGCCTCACTATAAATCCCCTCTTGTGCAGGGGTTGAGTTAAGCTCTTTGCTGAAATGTGTCTCTCCAAGGAATTTCCGTAGGTTCTTGCACTGTGGGCAGTTACTCACAGGAACACATCACTGTGGGTGATAGGGTCTGTTCAGTTTAAGAAATGCTAGTCAACAAATATCAAAGAAAGGGGAGGGGGAGTAGCAAAGAGCCATCAACTCTGTTGAAAGCTGGCCTCTTCCTGCATGCTGCGTTTGTTTGGCACTTTACTAAAATGAGAAACAATTTTTTCAAGTTGCATTTAGATATACAAAAAGTTAAGAAAATTCTGCTGTAAATGACCACCCCATCCACAAAACTATTTTGCCAATGAAATGCAGTGCTCTTCAAAGGTGTAAAGCTCAGATTAAAGACAACCTTTTGCATAGGGACGCTGGTGTAATTTGAGCGGATTTAGACACATTTTTTCTCTCTTTAATGGGAAAGCTTTCCCACTTGGGCAGTCACTTAGAGCAGCAGTATGAGTTTCTGAGCTCATGGCCTTACTCACCCTGCTGAGCTGGTCCAGGAGTCTTTGGTTCTGCTCGGAGAGTTCCTGGACGGCCCGCGTCTTCTCCCGGTCGGCTTCGCGCAGGTGGACCTGCTGCTTCTCCAGCTCGTCCTGTAGCTGCTTCACGTCACTCTCCAGCTCTGAGACGCGGCCCTCCCACTCGCCCTCTCTGTTCTCAAAGCGCCGCCTCAGCTCGTGCTTCTCCTGCTCCAGGTGCTGCCGAGCAGAGAGGGAAGAGGTCAGCAAGGGAGAGAGAAACACGGATGCGGGAGCGGGGAGCCCATGCCTGCGCTTGTGTCACCCCAGGTCACAGGCACTGCATCTGCTTCCCGTTTTTGGCACTTGGCCTGTCCTTGGGCTCCGTGGATGAGTGCATTGATTTCCCTTTTTTTTTTTTTTTTTTTTTTTTTAACTGAAACAACTGCCAAATGTGCAAAGCAGGCGGCATGTCAATAGGCAGAAAATATAGGTCAGGCAGGCCAATTGATTTAGCAGAGACCAGCTTAACTTGTGAGCAACCGGGTGGTGGTCGAGTCCTTTAGAAATTGCCTTGCTAGCTATAGGCATGAGAACTGCAGCTCGTGGAGGGGAGGAAGACAGAAGCAGCACCTCTCGTATGGGTCTTGGAACCAAGAGCTGCATCCTCTCTCCATTCTCTTCCTGGCCTAATTAGTGGCTGGGTGTTTGACTGCACACAGTGCTGCTATTGTCCCAGGCAGCGCCCTTTCTAAGGGCCACGGATGCAGTGGAGTATTATCCCTAGACATCATAAATACGTGCATTTGGAGTTACAGCTTGTTCAGTAAGCACTGACAGGTCTGGAGGCACTGCTCTGGGACAGCAGTGATCCGGGGGAACTGAGGCAGAGGTGGCAGGCTCGGTGAAATGAGGGTTTGACTGAGAGCTGCAAATCAGGTCAAAACAGATCTATCAAAACAGATACTGTTTGAAAGAAACCTTGCTCAGAAACTCTGAGCTCCCTGGTGACTGCTCAGTCTGAGCTCCCAAGCTGCCAAGGACACACATGCCATATTTCTCTGCTGCTTCCTGAGGAGGCCTCAATGTGCGGCTCGGGCAGTCCTGAGCTGTGCCTGATCTTCCACCTCCTTTCTTTGCTCTGCAATAGATGCCAGGATGACTTGTCCCTGCTCAGGTGGCTGAGTCCACCTGCTGCTTCCCCCTCCTCCACCAGCGCAGCAGGCCCTGTGAGGGTCCTCCCGAATCCTCCTGTAAACTGTCTCTTTCTAGAAAACTCCCTGACAGAAGGGTGAAAACAAAAAGCAAAAATATTTCTTTGCATTGCAAGACACTTGAGGAGCGAGGGTGCCCTGTGAGCAAGGCAAAGCAGCGTTAGCGCCGCTAGCTTTAACGCAGTGAGGGGATGCGCGATCGCAGCGTGGGGCACGCACCAGCCGCAGCAGAGGGAGGCCGCCGGGAGCTGAGGCGCGGCAGAGGCAGCTGCGATTTCAGCTGGAGCAGCAGGCGAAGATGCTGTCTGTGATAGCTCCGTGCCTCCCTCAGTGCTAGGCAACGTTTGCCGAGCGCCGGGGCCTTCGCCGTGCAGGTTGCAGTTCCAGCCTGCTGCTAGCAGCAGAGCGGCCCGGCCCTCTGGTGTGTGGGAATGTGCTCGGCATGAGGCAGACGCTAACCCTGTGTCTCGTCAGGTGTTTAAATACCCACCATGGTTCTGTCCCGCTACAGGAAAGCCCCAGCGTGCAGGGCAACAGGGAACAGCCGGTGTGAGTGACTGAGGGGATTAAGTCCCTGCTCTGGTGGTGGTGGGGAGCAGCACCAGCATGGCAGGAGCAAGCAGGGGAACAGGTCGGCCATGACTCTCCTGCTTGTGCGTGGAGGTGACAGAGCAAACTGTGGCTCTCGCTGAGGTGGGGGGTCTCACTTTAGGCAGCCTCTTGGCTGATTTTTATGCAGAACTTCTCCTAGAAGGCAGTTTCTCCCCAGAATGGCTTTCCTGATGCTTAACGGAGCTGGGTTTGTCCTTATGTGCTGGAGAGAGGGCGAAGGGGAGCTCTTCTGAGGTTCTGGGGTTACCTGCTTAGGCAGGGCAAATGCACTGTGGCATAGAGGAGCTGAGAGCTCATGGTGTAGTCCCTCAGAGCAAAGGGAGCTGCCGTTTAGTCAGAACGGTGAGTCCGTGTTTAGTAACGGCGGGCGGTACGAATGCTGTAACCCCTCTGCAACATCCCCCCAAAGCACAGCGTCTTTGGTTATCGCCAGTGAGCTGTATCCCGCGTGCTGCTGTGAAACACGGACAAGCCGGATGAGGCCGAGCCACATCTCCGCAGGGTGCACGGCCATCCTGAGGCAGAGCCACACAGACAACTCCCAACTGGCAAGAAAACTGGGGAAAAACCCTTCCATCCTTTCTTGTCCCTTCTCTTGCTTTCCCGCAGGCTCGTCAGCATCACTACCCCTGGTGCCACTGCCTCCATGATCCCACCAAGCTGGTCCTACCAAGAATCCCACCAAAGAACTCCTCTGGAGGTGGGCCCAGAGCAGACACTTGGGCAAGGGCTGTGGCTTCCCTGCCTCCTGGCTCCTTGGGAAACCTTGTCCGCTTCAGTGGCAACTGGAGAAGGCTGGCACTTAATCTGTGCGGCCTGGGATTACAAGGCTGCTTTTGTAGCGGATTAATGTCCAAGTCAGTGGGTTTTTTTGCCTTTTTTCTTTCTATTTTTTGGTGCTCTACTCTATGCAGGCAGCAATGACTCCTGTCAGAGGAGCTGCCCTGAAAGCGGGACTCGCTAGGCCAGGGGTAGTAACAAGATGCAAAGATATAGGCCAAGGGCCATGTTTATCAAACACCTCCCTCCACCCCAAGGAATAGGGGAACTGCCTCTGAACGGGCCCAGGGCTGCACGTGGTGTTTTATTTTACCTAAAGTCTTAGCAAGTCGTAGTTGTAACCAAAGTACTCTGAGGTCTCCCTTCCAACTTCACATTTCACAACCTCCTTATGGTATCTGAGATGCCAGGACAGGCAGCTGAGGATGTACCTGGCCTTGTGCCTTGTGTTCCCTCACTGCTAGGAGAGGCTGAGTCCAGCTCATGAGGAAAAATCTCACCACCAAACGGGCTTGTTCTGGCTGTGCCGCTTCAAGAATAAACTGAAGCATTTCTCCCTAGGAGATTTTGATCTGATGACTAGTACTGCTCAATCTGAGCAATTGCCACCTTTGCTACTGCCTCTATCAGAGTAGAAAATGCAGACAGACTTTCCAGCAAAGAGGAAGGGATGGGACAGGGTAAAGGGCAAGTGTAACAAGAGAAACAATTCTCTTCTTCAGGAGCAAAGGCTCCTGTAACAAAGGATTTACAGTAATTTCCCAAATGCTCTTGAACTTGCTTGATGTCAGACTCCTTGCCAGAAGGAGCATGGGGACAGGCACAAAGAATTAGGCTAGGGCTGTGACTGGAGATGGGAATGTAATCCCAGCTCTCCGCAGAAAGGTGAGAGGCCTTCTCTTTTCTAAGCACAATTCCTTGCCGAGAGGATTAAGATGCCATCAGTATCTGTGAGGAGGAAAGCCCGGGCATGGTGGTGACTCCCCCGTGGAGTTGTGCGCAGCAGCCGGCCTGCACGAGCCTTTCTGCTTGCGCGAGCTCTACGTGGGCCTGAAAACCACAAGTCACGGAGCAGCGCGTGCGGCTGCGCTCCCACAAACAGCCCTCGCCAGGCACCGGAGGATGGTAGTGGCGGCTCCCTCAGCCGAGGCTGC